CTAAGGAAAAGATATCGTGTAAACCACTTCTTCAAAATAATTACATGGGTTTTTTGTTTTGTTTTGTTTTGTTTCAGTCATCAATAGCGTGGTTGTAGACTTCTCAGGCATTTCATTTAGATCATCCCAAAGAACATACAGTCTATAGAGGCAAACATTAAAGTTTGGAATAGGAAGACGGTGAACTAAAGATACTGTAAGATATGTTACTCTCATGTCTGTCATCCTTAATAAGTGTGGAACACTGTTTATGCTCACAGATGAAAACAGAGATTGGCCAGACCAATGAATATTGAAAAGGAATTAATTGTTGCTTACAAAACAGAAAAGGAATTGATTATTTGCGTTTGTTTTAACTATTGTTTCAATTTAAAAAAAAAAAAAATTAATCATAGTGTTTTAGCAGCACAATATTTGTGGAAAGAAAATTGAAATGGGAATACTATAGAAACAAAGCTCCAGGTTTGCATGCACCATTATTCCCAATAATTATTTTTGCATTTATCCAGGAACAGACATAATCAGCAAGCAATTCTGAGCCACAATGAGCCAGTCTGGCTTACATGTTCAGCATCAAGAATCTCACTATAGAGTATGGTTTTTGTTGTTAACTCTTAGGAAAGTAAGTAGATGTTAAAAATCTATACAAAAAATAAAGCATCCGCAGAAGGAGATACATGTTAACTGAAATATAAAGAAGGAAAACACGAGAAAGTTCCATCATACATTTGCGTTCATTATAAATTGATTTCGGATTTCCAATAATGTTTATATGACATGGATTTAAGGGAAATATTATTAAAGCATTGGTGATTTTTTTTTTTTTTACTTTTAATGTATATTCCTCACAGGAAGCATTCGTATCATTCCAGGAACATGAATTTTACTGCTAACATTTCTCTTAACACAATATATTCATATCCCTCTCCTCAACAAATACATATCTTTACTTCCAGGGTTTATTTGCCTGTCAAGATCAGTCATTGAGTTACAGAAGAAAATGTAAAGAAGTTCGCTAGAAGTACTTATCTTTAAGCATAGAAAATAACCATGCAGCAAAACGTCTTTATGATTCTGTTATGATTGAGTGGAGTCCAATTTCTGATGTATTTTAATTTTTGCAGTAACTCCTATTAAACAACCTTTTTTTTTTGTCCAAGCAAAGTAAATGGTTTCATGAATGGTTATTCAGCTGTATTATTTGAAAGAGCTTGCAGCATCTGCATCACAGCTGGAAGCACAAAGGATAAACTTTCTTTCGTGTTTAAAAGTTGCTAGATAAATGAGGAGAATATGTAATCATGTCTCCTTACTATACACCAACTGCAGGTATTTTAGAGACACTATAGCAGATTACTTTCCCCCTGGATGTTTTTTTCAGTCCCCTGAGAGCTCTTCCATCTTGTGAGGCTGATTATTCTTCTCTGTCTTCTGCCATCCATATGACAAGTATAAAGTTTCAAGATGCCTAAACAGTTAGTCCAATTTTTCTACAATGAAATATATTACTGTCACTCTTTACTCTGTACTCTACAAAATAATATTGCAATATTCTTCTCTATCCTACTGTTGAACAAGACTGAACCCCCAAAGATCCAGATCATCCTATCGAGATGTTTCTGCACTAATTTAACAATCATAGCCAAGACTTGGATGAGTCAAGACAATTTCTTTTGGGAAGAATAGTTTGAGGAAAGGGAAGAATACTAAGAAAGTAACTTTAAAAAGACAACACTGAAAAAGCATGGACTAAAATCCCATACTACTGACAAGATCACCCTAAAGAGTTGTAGAATTAGTAAGAGATCTGGAAAACACGCTAGCCTTTTATTTTTGAAGATTGTCTACACTGTAACAGACTTAGGAAAAAAAAAAGAAGAAGAAACATTACTTCATCTGAGCATCATTAATCAGTCTTGCAATGTTTAGGATGTTTCAGGTGAAACAGAGAGGCTTGCTTGGATTTGTGGGAGATGACTGAACTTCTAGTTATGACTGAGAGGACTTCACTGCCCATCCTTCTCCATCAAAACACTGACTTTTATTACAAACCTCGTGGAAATACTTATTAACAGTACTTTTTCTGCCTTTCAGCTGCTTTCCTATCCTACTTCTGTTACAATTTTATTGTCCCATCTGTCCAAATTATGCATCAATGAGTACAATATTTTTTCTAGGAAGAAAATACAGGTATTTCTAGCACATGGATTTAATATAAAGTTGCTTGCCATCATTGTAAATAGATTCATTTCATCAGAGTCATTGAATTTCACAGGTTCTTAGTAGACTCCTTTTTGTAAGCATTTACAGCTTGAAATATGGCTTTAAGATAACTGAAAAGGGAATGATATTGTGAGAGGGATTTCTTCCTGCTTTATTGAATTCTTTCTATCATTTAACATTGGTGCCATTTTCAGAAGAAATGTATAAAAACATCACACGACATGGGTAGATAAAATTCAAAACCACCTTTGAAAATACCATTGCACCTTAACATTCCTTTTCATAAACTTTAAGAACAGAATCTTCTCAGAAATACAAATCTTGTGGAAACACCAAACACAAAGAAAGTGTACAAGATAAGGATAACAACAACTCTGTTAAAGACCTAATGACCCTCAAGTGTAAACAGAACCAAGTCACATTTAAATAAGAATGGCTGAAATGACACAGTGCAATCCAACACCTGCCATGAATCTTGCCTAATCATTTATGAATAAAAATGAATTTCTAACTGCAGTTATGATTCCTCTCCAAAACAATGAATTTTTATGGACAATCTAACCTACGATGATAACCTTTGATCTTGTGGTTACTGAAATGCCAGTTCTTTTTCTATGCCTTGAAATAATCTATGTAATGTTAAGTTGCATGTCATTCCTTGTGCTCTTGATATCCTTTGGAAACGAAGGGCATTCAAAGCAGCATTTATGTTTTGAAGGAGAAAGAAAATACTGGAGTCAAAAGATCTTGCACTGCTGGAGAGTGACCACAGCACTTTCCATCCTGTTGACAGTGGTTTACAACAAACTTGAATGTATGCAACTGAGTGAGAGAAAATTAAGACATGGGAACACACTTATGGAGACTTAAGTACTGTAATCAGAATTTTAATTGAATGCCTCTCCTGGAGGTTTCAGATAGGTTAAACCCCAGCTGAAAGAAATATTCATGTCTTTTTTGTGATATCGATCTAGAAGATTGTTAGATTCAAATGCCAAAGATCATTCCACAAGCAAAGAATCGTTCCTTGATTTAAAGATCATTAGAATGTAAAGAACAAGTTTTTAGATTTAACAATAAAAACTTCAGAAATTGAATCAGATACAGAACCAGCTAATGTCCACTCTTGTTACACTTAATTTTAATTATATATTAGCTGTTTTTTATATGGATAATAAACAGAATAATTGAATGGTTGGTCAAACAGTCATATCGTAATTTCTTGAAGAGTTCATGTGGGAAAATATTTCATGCATGCTCAATATGCATTATTAATCCCTCCTTGAAGCTCAGCAATTTTTCAGAAGGAATCAACTCTTTTCTGAAGAACTGCATTCCTTCTCAGAAGATCAGAAACAACAGCATCACCATTACAAAATCTTTTTTGTTACCCCGTTAGTTCGAAAAGACAATTGGAAGGGTTACAAGCCAGCACCTGCAAACCTTGTTAGAATCCCAGAGATGTGGAAATTTAGAAGAGCTGATTCAACATCTGTGCTAGAACTTCTGCTCCTTGCACGCTGTGCTAATGCAATGCTGTGATCCACTGCTCTTGCTATTGCAAACATCTTTAGGAAGTCCTTGAAAACTCGGACATACCAGATCAAGCTTGCATTTGCGCTAAAGTGTCTTGATTGGAGAAGGCCTATACTCTTAATCCATACATTCTCATACCACAGGTGCAGTTCACTTGGGAGTATGGATGAGTATGGATCTAGATATTCAGCAAATAACTTGTTTAAATATCAGTATAGAGGTGCTTTAAGTTGCAACTTAAATCAAAATCAATTTATCTTCTCTGTCTTCATAGCAGAAAATATCTTCTTTAGAATAAAGTATCTGCTTTAAGAAAAGCACAATTATTCTCTGTACTCCACTCACTATTCTAATGGGAGCTTAGCCACCACAATGCTAATAAACACCCACATTTACATAGCTGTACCAGGAATCTTGATCTTAAATTTAAAACCACCAAATGGGAAGTGCACCCTCAGAACTGAGAAAATAATTCACTTGAGAGAATTTTACTAGTCAGTAGAAGGTGATAATCTGCTGTTTAATTCTTAGAATTTAAGACCATCATTAACTTTCCTCTCACTTTTATGCTGAGTCTTCAAACTCTTCCAATGCTAACACGGACAATCCCAATTTACAATTAACAATGTAAGAGCAAAATATTTATTCTCTGAAAAATAGAACCATTATGTTAAACATAATGAATTTACCTCATGTGAGTGGAAAATAAGCTTTCTGTAAGAAAATGTTCAAGGTGGACTAAAGAATCTCTACATAAATTGTTTTCCAGTGGTAAAACATATTCATTTCCAGTTTGTTATAATTAAGGTCAACTTCTAATTTCAAACTGTTGTAACATGCTCACGGACTGTTATTACATAATCGTTGACTTACAAATATTGATGTGACGATGAAGCTTTCAGAAGCATTCAGTGTATTAAAGTCTACTCAGATCCTTAGTCATGGAGCACATCAATCTGATGCAATTATTAAACATACAAATTACCTAAAAATTTGTTATACATATTTTACTGATGAAATAGCTCCAGGATTAAAATTATTCATTACTTACCCCTGTTCTTTGAACTTCCAAGAAAATAGCTCTTTGAAATGATTTCTCCCACACTGCCAACTCGCTGCCCAGCTCTACATTGAAATAATGACTCTTGCCATGTCCAACCATAACACTGAAACAATATGGCCTCTGGTCTTCCAGATCAAAGTCCTGATGAATACCTAAATACAAGTTTGCTTGTAGCCAGTAATCATCAGCAAGCCAGAGCTGAAAGACATGTTTCAGTATGTGATTCTTCATCTAGCAAAAACAGTTAGAGCAACATTGTCTTCTGTAAGTGATGGGTACTTGGATACGTTATGTCATTATGTTAATAAATACCTTGAAGAAATATTCTGAGAACTAAGTAATAATTTCAAAGACAACTTCTCTCTTTGCTTCTTATTCACTTTACCCTGTATCATGTATTCTGAGCTACCTCTGCAGTTCCAAAATACTGTCAAAGTTACCTAAGCAAAACATACATAATTTAAAAGGAGTTTGTAGCAATATATTGTTTACAGTGAAAAGGAAGGAAATCCCTGAACTGTTTGAATACAATTCAAGAGCTGTGTACTAGATTTACAGGAGAATATATCTACTCTGTTCTAATTGGGTTCCAATATGTTAATCAACAAGGAAGGCAGTAATTTATCAAGTACCCAAGGGCTAATTCTGGAAATAACAATGTGAGCTTTCAAATGTCCCCTAGTAGCTGCCAATGCTGCTCTGCAACTACAAGGGGAATGAAGTGAGATCCTGCCATCACCTTCAAGATGAGAAGAGAAACTTCACATTAGTCTTTCATAATAAAAAATATCCCTGTAACAGAATGTTTTGTGAATGAACACAAATACAAGAAACTTCCCTAATCTTTCAAGACTTCACTGATTAGCATAAATATAGAGAAAAAGGAAACTAAATTAAAAAGCTACTGCTTATGCATTTGAGTACTTTCACTGACTGAATTTCCAAATTACTCATTTTTTAAAATGTCTCTCAGGTAGGGTTCTTTGCTATCTCTGTTTCTCTATGATGGCATGCAACAGAAAAGATTGAAAGAGCAAAAAAAAAATGTTATTTCTTATTTTCTAAAGTCACCTGCAAACAGAACTTTCTTTCTCTAGCATGTCAAGCTAGGTTTAGGAGACTTGACTCTAGTCAAGCAGATCTGAGGTAAAAACAATCACGTTTGACTGGACTTAAGCGGCTTTAAAAATACCAGAATGCAGCTTTGAACTGGTACCCAAATCCCAGAACCTTGCAGTCAGGTTAAGCCTCATAAAGATTTAGAATTAATTTTTCCATAACCTCATATAGTCTATCATATCCTATTGAGGATAAAGCTGAAAGTCCATGCACAAGGAAACAAAATAACTGGAATTTGAGCATCTAAATGTAATGTAAAATATTCCAATACATGTAAAATAAATGTTTAAATGTTCAGGCTCTTGTGTCCCTCCTGTTCTAGATGCACACACAACTGTCTTCACAGGACGGCAGTGAAGATCCACTTTTTAGTAATGAAAAGCAGAGAAAAAAAATGCTCCATTAGCACACTCTCCTCTGTGTACTGCTCTCATATTCACAAACAGGATCCAAATACTCAGATGGGAACTGAAAATTTTCCTAGTGCTAGTGAACTACAGAATAACATAAAGCTGTCAAATGTAACCTTACGCAATTTACTGAAGTCTAGTCTGTTAGCTACGGATGTTTTGTGGGGCAACTCAAAAGCAGAACATAATTCCACCAGGGTAAACAGCACTTTGTTGTCAAAAATGGCCCTGCAGGTATCCAAGTAGAGAACAGTCTTGAGAAAGTCCAAACTTATTTTATGACACTTCTTTGGACTGATGAAAAGGAAGTGATGTAAAATGTCGATGTCTTGCTGACATGCACAGTGGGATCGAGTGCACCGTCAGCAAGTTTGCTGACCACACCAAGCTATGTGGTGTGGTCGACATGCTGGAGGGAAGGGATGCCATCCGGAGGGACCTTGACTGGCTGGAGAGGTGGGCCTGTGAGAACCTCATGAAGTTCAACAAGGCCAAGTACAAGGTCTTGCACATGGGTTGGGGCAATCCTAAGCACAAGTACAACCTGGGCAGAGAGTGGATCAAGAGCAACTGAGAGGAGAAGGATTTGAGGGCATTGGTTGATGAGAAGCTCAACATGAGCTGGCAATGTGCACTGGCAGCCCAGAAAGCCAACTGTGTCTTGGGCTGCATCCAAAGAAGCGTGGCCAGCAGGTCGAGGGAGGTGATTCTGCCCCTTTACTCTGCTCTCATGAGACCCCACTTGGAATACTGCATTCAGCTCTGGAGTCCTCAACACAAGATGGACATGGAGCTGTTGGAGTGAGTCCAGAGGAGGGTCACAAAGATGATTCCAGGGCTGGAGCACCTCTCCTATGAAGACAGGGTGAGAAAATTGGGGCTGTTCAGCCTGGAGAAGAGGAGGCTCTGGAGAGATCTTATTGCAGCTTTCCAGTACTTAAAGGGGGCTGGAGTGGGATTTTTTTACAAGGGCGTGTAGTGATAGTACAAGGGGTAACAGCTTTAAACTGAAAGAGGGTAGATTTTTATTAGATGTACAGAATCACAGAATGTTAGGGATTGGAAGGGACCTCAAAGGATCATCTAGTCCAATCCCCCTGCCAGAGCAGGATCACCTAGATCAGATCACACAAGAACGCGTCCAGGCGGGTTTTGAACATCTCCAGAGAAGGAGACTCCACAACCTCTCTGGGCAGCTTGTTCCAGTGTTCTGTTACCCTTACTGGGAAGAAGTTCTTCCTCATGTTTAAGCGGAATCTCCTATGTTCCAGCTTATATCCATTTCCCCTTGTCCTATCATTGGATGCCACCGAGAAGAGCCTGGCTCCATCCTCATGACAGTCACCCTTTACATATTTATAAACATTAATGAGGTCCCCCCTCAGTCTCCTCCAAGCTAAAGAGACCCAGCTCCCTCAGCCTTTCCTCATAAGGGAGATGCTCCACTCCTCTGCGCTGGACTCTCTCCAGCAGTTCCTTGTCCTTCTTGAACTGAGGGGCCCAGAACTGGACACAATATTCCAGATGCGGCCTCACCAGGGCAGAACAGAGGGAGAGGAGAACCCCTCTTGACCTACTAACCACACCCCTTCTAATACACCCCAGGATGCCATTGGCCTTCTTGGCCACAAGGGCGCATTGCTGGCTCATGGTCATCCTGCTGTTCACCAGGACCCACAGGTCCCTTTCCCCTATGCTGCTCCCCAACAGTTCAGTCCCCAGCTTGTACTGGTACATGGGGTTGTTCATACCCAGATGCAAGACTCTACACTTGCCCTTGTTGTATTTCATTAAATTTCTCCCCACCCAACTCTCCAGTCTGTCCAGGTCTCTCTGAATGGCAGCACAGCCTTCAGGTGTGTCAGCCACTCCTCCCAGTTTAGTGTCATCAGCAAACTTGCTGACCATGCACTCTGTTCCCTCATCCAAGTCATTGACGAATATGTTGAACAATACTGGTGCCAGTACCGACCCTTGAGGGACTCCACTGGATACAGGCCTCCAACTGGACTCTGTCCCATTGACCACTACTCTTTGGCTTCTATCCTTCAGCCAGTTCACAATCCACCTCACTACCCGATCATCCAGACCACACTTCCTCAGTTTATCTGTGAGGATGCCATGGGAGACTGTGTCAAATGCTTTATTGAAGTCAAGATAGACCACATCCACTGCTCTACCATCATCCACCCACTGGGTGATGTCCTCATAAAAGGCTATCAGGTTTGTCAAGCACGACTTCCCCTTAGTGAAGCCATGTTGACTGCACCTAATGACCCTCTTATCCTTGATATGCCTAGAGACAGCACCAAGGATAAGTTGTTCCATTATCTTTCCAGGGATGAAGGTGAGGCTGACCAGTCTATAGTTACCTGGGTCTTCCTTCTTGCCCTTTTAGAAGACCGGCGTGACATCTGTGTAAGAACTTCTTCCCCCTGAGGGTAGTGAGGCATTGGAATACGTTGCCCAGAGAAGCTGCGGATGCTCCATCCCTGGAAGTGTTCAAGGCCAGGCTGGATGAGGCTTTGAGCAACCTGATGTAGTGGAAGATGTCCCTGTCCATGGCAGGGGGTTGAAACTAGATGATCTTTAAGGTCCCTTCCAACTTAACCCATTATATCATTCTATGAACAAAACACCTGCATACGATCTGGTATTCGGCATCCACACGGTGACAGGTATTACACCTACATTTGCTTCAAGACTCAATACTGCTCATCCTGGCTCACAGACTATTATATTAATATTTTTTACTTTGTATGTGAAAATGTTATATGTGAAAATTCTAGGCAATAAAAGAAAACAAAATGTTTTTAAGGCAGGTGGCTTTTAAAAATGCATCTAATAGTCTCATCCCCGAAAAGTAAAGGTTTTCAGTAACAGTTCCAGTAAATATGGAGTAACAGGCAAGGTATAGGAAAAAATACATGAGATAAAAGAGGTAACACTTTCAATGAACTTGTTGTTACCACCAAATGTCCATGAATATGCAAGTATGTGAAATATAGATGAATTTTAATTCACATACTTGGATATGCATGTTTGTGTATTCAAGTGTATATTTTTATGTATGTATGCATACACACACACATCTAAAATACAGCAATTATTTTATTTTAAAATGCTATTTCCATATTGGATGTTTAATTCTTGTGTCATAATAAACATAGATGGGAAGTCTACAATTAGGTGAGCAACAAGTGCACCTTGCTTTAAAATCCGTCTTTTGTGAGAAGATACAACAGCACTCTCCACCACAACTTTGTGCTAGTTCTAATCAGCTTCTGAAAATCCTTAAGAACATCCTGCCAAAAGCTTAGTTTTTACAACATAAACTCCATCTTTCAGTCTGCAATGTAGAAACTTTAATCTCTTAAGTTTTTTTTCCGTCTTTTTGGATTTGCTTGGTTTGCCTCATTTATACCAAAAAATCAACAGAAAAGATGTTAAAGTGTTGAATTTGAGCTTTTGCACTTTAGTTAATGTATTCATGGAGACTGGCAATTAAGCATTCATTTATTAAAATGTCAAGAACATTACTGAGTTGAATCTTAGGTAGTTTATTTCCCACTTTTTTTTCTTAATGAAAAAATATCCCAGAATTTGCTTTAAGGATAGACTGTCCTTGAAATTACCAGGCTATTCAAGGAACGATTGAGTTTCAAATCAGTAGTAATATTTCAAGGAGAAAAAAACAAACCCCAAATCAAAGCAAAAACTTTTCAAAAGGCATAATGAGTATATATTTCATTGTTATCTGACTTATTTATGAGGAAAAAGTAAATTTTAAAATAGATTAAGGAGACAGAATAAATAATCTGGGACAGAGCCTCTGCTCTTTGCTGCTGTCTCAATGATAAGCAGGACCTGAAGAAGTTGCCCAAGTGTACCCAGCTGGAGACATGGTCACGTTGAAAGAGTGCTAGGCCCACAATAACATGGCTGTGCTCCTGCAGCCTGCACTTCAGAGCTGAGCTCAAGTCCTGAACTACAGGATTGCTATTTTCCTGGCCTGGCCCTGCCCAAGGCCCATCACTCTCCTCATTTTTGCCAGAGAAGGGAACCTTCCTCCCCTGCCCAGGGACAGTAGGCTTATAACAGACAAAAAGAGGCAGTGATGGGCTGCAAAACTGGCAGTTGACAGCAGAAGCTCTTCTAGCAGCCACTTAATGAGACTGACACTTCTGTAAAATGCAGATGTCAGTTCATGTTTGAGAGCTATTTTTTCCAGATTTCTGTCAAGTCCTGTGAGCTCTTTGCTCTGCTGGTTGTAACTGCATCGTGTTTTCAATTTTATTTATTCTTTTTAAATCACAGTCAACAAAATTAGCATAGGAAACATGCTCATGTTGTTGAAAGTCAGTTTGAGACAAGTAGTTTGAGCAGGCAGGACATGGAAACTCCCTGCCACCCCATTCTTTGGAGAATTTGGTCATTCAACACTGGAGAAAACTCTCCCTTATGCTGAAAAGGGCAGTAAGAGGGAATGGAGTGTTATTGTCCGGTCTATGATTATTTTTTTCTTTTTCTTTTTTTTTTTTTTTTCATTTTCCCTTCTGTAAATTGTCCTGAATAACCGTGTCGCATCAGAAAAAACAACCATAAGTAGCACTCCTTAAATAAAGAAATTTAAGCTGTTCTTCTTTGGCACAATGTTAAGGCAGGATCTGTACAGGTAACAACCACCCACCTTCCTTCTCCACAACCATGTACATGGTCAAAGGACAAACAGCAGAGAGAAGGACAGTAGCTGCTGAGAATCAAAGCTAATTTGGAATTTTTCAATGAAACAGCATTTTATCTGAAAAGGCTGATCTTTTGGTTTTCCTTTTTCCTGATAATATGTTTGGTTTTATTCTCTTAGGAAAGGAGGCTCTCATCTAGCCTTACCTCACCTGCAAAGCAGTTTTCGATTAGCTGGTAGAGAACTAAATTAATCTATTTGATGCAACTTAACAGAAAATATCTTTTGTAAGTGAATTATTTAAAGAGACTGCTAAGGTTTTGCCCCAAATCCTTTATTTGGACAGGACAAGCTAAAGAGAAATAATTACACTGTCTCTAGGTGGTGTAAAAAATGAAGAATTCTATGGTACACAAATACACCATGTTGCCCTTTGTAAGGTAAAACCTGCTAAAATATTTGTGAACTACACATGATCTAAAAAAGACATAATTTTATACTTCTAATTACTGAAATTATAAAAGTATCTTCACATAGATCAAGAATTAGAGCAAAAGCATTCTCCTTCACATTCACTTAAAAAGCTGAGCCACTAAGAAAAATGCAGTATCCAGCTTCATTACACTTAGCTGCGTATCTCACCTGTGCTTCATACAACCAGCTCTAATACTGAAAAATTTCTTTAATATGGAAGCATTTTAGTGACTTGTTCACTTGGAGCTTAATTAACTTTCCATATTCTCTTACACTTGCATAACTAATGCACTAGTCATTACAAATATTTTTTTTAAACAACAGATAAATTATGTGAATGTTAGCTACTCCTAGTTAAGATTAACTTGAGCTTATCATTAACAGCAAAAGGCAAGCTTTTTTTACTAAATATCATTATAATCATTAGGAAACCTACCTTGTGAATTTTAAATAGAACCTCACAGAGGTTATAGATTTTTTCAGCTCTCACCCAGTCTAGTGTGCTTACCTATAATATCAAAAGAAAATATTAACAACACATTATTTATTCTAAAATCATGTACAGAAGAAAAATATTAACAAGATTTCACCCATCATTATTCTGTTGGATGCTCTAAACACAGGCACGTTACTACATTTAATATCCAGCATTTAGAAAAGACTGTCAAATAATTCAGTTTTTACAGAAACAGCATCTACAGGAGCGTTACTATAATTAAAAGGCACTAAATAATTTCATTGATTTTTTTCCCCCCATTGTTACTACAGCATGGTGGAAATCTCTTTGTGGTGAGTTACATAATTGTATTTATTTTCCAATATGCCAACACAGAGAACCCAGAGTCTCAAACTCAGAGTCATTCAGCTTCATGTCTCAGTTTAAAAAAAAGCTCACGATCAACAGACCAGGATGTGTTCTTAAATTCACGTTTGAGTTTACATACATTAGGGCACCAAAATCTTCATCTTCATATTAAAACCTGAAAAGGACCATGTGACTGCTATATTTACAATAAACAAGCATGTCAACTGTATGCTTAATAATGAATACGAAAAGACATACTTTCTGTTTTCTTTTGATTTCGTTACTTTATCCTAGTGACACAACAGGCTGTTAGAATTTGACAGTTAGAGTGATATTTGAAGTTTTTCCCTAAATTCTAGTTCATGATATAATGCGATAATCTGTTTTATTTTAATAATAATACCTAGCCTATGTAGTTCAATGAAAAAAAAGAAAGAACCTTTAGGTAGGAAACTTAGAAGGGGAATACACATTATTAGTATATATTTTAGAGCAAAATCCTAGCTCTTGGTGAATCCAGAGGAATGGCTGCATAGATATATAAAGAATTTGACTGAATTATAACTCTGGGGCTTTTAGCACATAGAAATAAGTGTTTTGGTGACTCTTTTTATCATAAGCAATTTCCCATCATAAATTAGAGCTTGAAATATTACATATAGCTACCTTTAAAAGCACTTAGTACTACTTTAAAAGAGTTTTGTCAAATTTAAATATAATATCAGCTGTTTTAGAAAATGAATTTAAACCAATTTTTGATATCATACTTGTTCTCTCATCACTTCATAAAATGTAGCAATTTTTTAGAGTCATATATTTCTAATTTTTAGATTCTGCTACTCTTTTTCTTCTAGTAAGGTCCGTTCAATATTTTATTTGAGTTTTGGTTTATGGTTACTGCTAAGAGTAAGCAACAACAACACAAGTTTAGAAATAGCTGAAACTGAGGAATTATAAAGCTGATTCATAAAGAATTATTATACATTTAAACATGCACGTACTGCAGGTCTTTGCTTAATCCTTATTTACAGGGAAATCTTTTTTACTTTGATGGCTGTTTTGAAAATAAAATAATTAAATAATACAGGTTTTGGCCCTTTACTGTTGATCCTCACAAGGGATCTTGCTTGTTGCAAATTAAGGTTTACAGCTAGGTCCTGAATTTCTTGAAGCCAAAGATTTTTTTCCTTCTCGGTTAAAAGCAGAAGAATCTCTCATTCCTATTACTGGCTAGACAATATATAGAAGCATAAACACCAACTTAATCTGCTGTTTGTGAAACTGAATTTAGTGACACAGGCTATAACCTAAAAGCTGTTGAGACACGACTGAACTTTCATTTGCTCATATCTTTTGTTTTGATTCCTGAGATTAATTTAAACTGTTGGGGTTCTTCGTTGCTATTAATGATACTACCATGGACAACAGTGACACTGCTGTGCCATTAAATTCACTCTGAATACTTCAGCCTTCTCTCCATTATGCTGTGCATCTCTTTCATCCTTTCACTCTCTGTAACCTCTTACGACTTTTTCAGCAGACATAGCTGGTGATGATGGTAGCTGTCAGCACCTACATAAGCCCAGATTTTCTTTTACTGTATATGTCAGAGAAAGGCTATCATACTTCAAGCCAAGAGTGAAACAGTCTGAATAACACAGTGTGCAAGGTCATCAGGAGAACACGGATGACACGTTGAGAGGGATTTTAAGGAGGGGAAACAAACATACTACAAAAGGACACTAGAATCCAAAGAGACAGCTGACATTATTTATAGTTTTCTCAGAACTATCATAGTATGTCTAAGTTTAAAATGTTATTGTTATAGACTGCATTGCTTCAAAAAAAAATCACAAATTATCATATACTTCTAGTCAATGAGAAAAGCTGGAAAGAATCAGAAAAGTTCACAAAAAGTGCAATATCTTTCATTTGCTTTACAGGATGTTTCAGTTTATTGCAGGTTTAAACATCATCACACATTTAATAACTAGGACATGATAGGTAACTAAGATAAATGACATACTGAAATATATTCCTTAGGCAATAAAAAAGTTTTTCGCATTATTTCCCCTTGGAATTGTTCCTGTAGGTATTCTATATGTTGCAATGTCCTGGGTTTATTTTAGCACGACAAGATACTTATTTTTTAGTAAAGCATTTGACAAAACGTTTCAAGAAAGGTATATTGAGAATGGGTCACTTAATGAGACACATTTTCACTCATATGAATTTAGTTCTGCCAGTGGCAAAATAGTGTCAAAATACATGAAAGCACCAATTAGCACTCACTGAGCTTCCACTTTAATTCTTGTTTGTCTAATACATGAATTTATGACCAACAGTAGCTGAATGCTACTATTATTATTGGAAGACCAACTCCTTAGGTAACTCAGTGCTTAAGGTGATGTATTGAATACTTGGTTTTGTAAATATTTTGCTATATTAAACCCTTCAGAAAAATTGCAAAGTAACCCATTTGTAAACTCACATATGACTCTGAGCTGATCACAGAGATAATAAAAATGAACGAAGACAGAAAAATAGGAACCTGAAGTTACAATTTTAAGTCCATAATGAGAGACTGAAATAAGTATGTAGAGATACAAAAGTGCTAAGTGTTGCAGAAGTACTTTTACTTCAGCATGAGTTTCTGTAAGTTCATCATGTTTTAAAATTAGAATTTTAAATGGAGGCATTAGAATGGATTTCTGAAATAAATAAACTACTACAATCTAGTTTTACTTAGAAGAAGTTATCTCAGCATCAATTCAGGCTCATATTCCAAATATATTTAGCTTTAAATGTGTATGTTAATCCTTGATTTTTCTTTAAAAAGTTAAGATTTAGAATAGAGAGAAAACAATAACTTTAAATTCATTTTGACACAAACATGTAGTAAATAACAAATTGAAAAATAGCTACTCCCTAGAAGAGAATTCTTCAATTATAAAAAAAGGCAGTCATGTCCATTAAAATAGACTTTCATGTCTATTCAGAGATCAGCACTAAAAGATTGACTAGACATGAGAAATAAATATAGGGTTCATGTAAAAGAGAATCACACTTCAAAACTCACTAAAGTTAAAGAGAACATAATACACTCTTTGAATTTCTATGAAAATTGAATGTGATTCTAGCAATCTAGTGGCCTTCAAAATATTAAAAAAAAAATTGAATACATTTAAAGAGTAAAACTAAAGGAAAAAAAGATCAAAGTGGCTGTAATACTTATTACTGGAATACGGAGAATGCTGCATTATCTGACAATTAAGCAGAAGCATCCAACCCCTGTAGAAGTACTAAAAAGGTCTAGGCAAAACATTAAATACTTTTAGGTCAAGAGTAATTCAATTCACTGGTCTCTTCACTCTTCAATGGAAAAAATGAGTCAATTATAATTAAAAAAATATTAAAAGATATTAAAAATGAAAAAAAAGTCAAGAAATATTCTTCAGATGAGCTATGATATAGCAGTATGAGAAGCCTAAAGATGTCTGAAACAATGCAAACTTGATCATAAAAAACATGCACTAAAGAACAGCGAGATCCTAGCAAATTTGTTAACAAAACAAATAAAAACTTGTGTGTAGACTTGGAAAGGTCACCAAAAGCATTCATGGTCAAGACTATGACCTCCAACTCATTACGACTTCTTTCCTAATATGTTACATTGACATTATGTATAATGCAAATTACAAATATAAGTATTCAGAAATTAAATAGTGGTACTCTTAACATTCAAAGCACTGCTCATGTGCTAATTACATTATGCAAGCTTTTTTCTCTGTGATATTTTTCAAAGCTTTTCTGTTACTTTTACATTATTCTTGTATTTATTCCTTTTCTTAAAATTATTAGCAGCATATGCAGTGATTGCTTAGCTGCCTTCACATAAACCACTTCAGCGCTATTTATTTAATGATGTTGAAAGAGATAGCTTTGTAATTAGAAGTAAGATAACACCTCCAGAGGTATGTCTACTTTAAGACTTGAATTTAAAGTCCATATTGAATTATGAGGAAGACATAAAAAATCAAAGAGTACAATTCTATCCTGCGTATAACACACATTCCATAAAACCAAAACGTTTCATTTTTCTGGAAATTTTCAATGACATAAAAACCAGTTTGTTTTTGAATGATAATTTTGAATGATAATTTTGAATAATGTATCTTAAATTTCTTATAGCATACAAATTCAGAACCTTTTCGAGATCTGAAAATTGACGGAAATTTATTCGGTGCTTTCAGAATGTAATAAAATATTGCTTGCATATTAACATTGACAGAACAATAATTTCTATTTGTGCAATGGTGTTTTTCACATCTGTAGTTTTCAGAAATGTGCCACTATTCTAATATAGCAATCAGTAAATGAGATCTGTAAATTTCTTAAATACAGTCAGATAAGCCACTTTAGGGATGCAGAAAGACTATTCTGTTAATCACATTGTTCTTGATATTTACTTCTATGGTGAAGCTTCTACATTTTTGGAAACACCATCTGAGATATTGTTAAAACGGAGTATAAATAGAATATTACTTGCCATAGTAATTTCTTTCACAGTATAATATCCATATTTTTATCACAATTTTCTTTATTTTTGCCCATGGGTAACTGTGTTTTCCATTTTTACGAAAGTTAGCAGCTGTATTTATATTCATATCATCTTTTACACACAATAAAATGGAACAAGAGTAGAAATTGTACCAGATCCTTTTACAAGCAGTTGCAAAGTTAAGGGTAAGATAATTACAACTAAAGATAACTGTATGACTTGTAGGTCATCTACTCTGTGCACACTACATTGATTCACTGACACGCTACATTGATTCAGTATGCAAATAGCAATACCATCATAGAAACATCTCTGAAATAAAACATAATGTTAAACTCTTATCTTCTAAAGATCAAGCAAGTTAAAACATCTGTATTTTTGTCATAGAACAATTCATTTTTTAACGCTTCACTTAACATAGTAAAAAAAAGTCTGTGGGAGTAATGTAAATTACGCAGTACCATTAAATGTCTCTAAAAACAGTGAAACAGCTCTATGCAGAGTTTTGTATGGGTACCTGTGTTCCCAGCTACAGAGCTGGGACATGTGACACAGAACCAGTGTCAGGGCACAGCGTGGGTTGGTGGCTCCCCGGGTGCCGTGGGAGCTCCCCTGGGGTCTGGCAGGGCAAGGTCCTTGCCAGCCAGGGCACATCCCATCGCCATGTAGTGGGCTGACCCCATCCAACAGCTAAGCACCTGCATAGCTGCTTGCTAACTCCCCATCCTCCTGCAGTGGGATGAGGGAGAGAACAGGAAGAGCAAAAGCAAGAAAACTTGTGGGACAAAATAAAGACAGTTTAATAACGGATGGAAAGAGAAAAAGAAAGAAGTGATGCAAAGGTGATTGCACCGTGTCCGTCACAAGCAGACTGATGCCCAGCCAGTCTCCAAGCAATGGCTACTTTTGAAGACCAAATCCCTGTTTTTTGTTGCTGAGCATGATGTTTTCTGGTACCTAATATCCCTTTTGGGCTGTTTGTGTCAGCTGTCCTGGCAGTGTCCCCTCACAACCTCTTGCCTGCCTCCATGGTAAGCAGTGTGAGAAACAGGAACTGCTGTGCAAGCAAAGCTCAGCAACAGCCAAATCACTGGTGTGTTAGCGCTGGTTTAGTCACAAATATAAACCCCACTGCCATACAGGCTGCTATGAAGAAAGTTACGTCCACCCCAGCCAGGCCCAGTACACGTCCCCAGCCAGCAGCAGGGCAGCCCCAGGGACTGGGGCAGCTTCAGCTCTGGGCACCAGGCACCTCCCTGGGGACAGGGACAGGCTGGGCCAGTCCTGGACATGGACCTGTGGGCAGGGCTGTGGGGAGCTGAAGAACAGCTGCTGGGGCAGGGGTTGGTGGCCCTGGGGAGCTGCAATGGGGTCCTGGGCTGCAGGAAGGGTGGGAGGAGCCCCAGGGAAGAAGGTCAGGGACAGGGGCCCTCAGGGCACTGATAATCATCTTCAAAGTGTGGCTTTAGATCCAGGTTTGAATTCTCCAGGTGGGTGGTTGCTGGAAGCTGCTTTATTTCTTTCCCCTGATATAACACATCTGTGGAATGATTAAATAGCAAGAAAACTGGTCAACAAGTTTTATGATTTATGGGCTCTGTCACAGTTACTGGTACATTTGAGTACTGGGATAACAGACTGACCAAAGGGGTCCCCTTTGTTCATTTTTTTGAAAAGCCACTGTTTCTACAAAAAAATTGTGCAGAAACACAATAGACTGTAGTAGATACTGACAAGTAATATGGTACAAATACTAACTAACATTCATCTTCACTTGTCTGCTCTTGGTAGAGTGCTGAACATGATAAATTAAGTAGTTTATCCCTAATTAGTATCACGCAGATGGATAGTTTTAATTATATCAAAAATGTTTCTTCGAAAACAGGTCTGAAAGCAATAACTAAAATTTATAAAGGAAAAGCATTCATGTGGTGTGTTATTTATTTGTTTAATATTTTTGCATTGTTTTTGCATTTTAATTGGATTGTAGTAATTGAATCAAATTTTAGTTCCTTGACTTAACAGAGACAATTTTTTTAAAGGGGAAAAAAAATCAAATTTTTCCCAGACGTGTTGTCTCATTTTAGAAAGAATACTACTGGCCATTTAAAAATACTTGATGTTAATAGGAATCATTGATTTAGAATTTCAATCTAGAGAGAGAAAAAATGTTACTTATTGCTTCTCACTGAGGCTCATGAATAAGGTTTGAAGAATATGTGCTTTCCATGTAAAGGATCAGATTTTCTTTGGATCAGCTGAAGAAACTGAGAGATTGACAACTTTCTGAGTAAAACTGTAAGGAAGCTGAATAATTGAAATTGCATTCTAATTCCACATTTTATTATCTTTGATTAGTTTAAAGCAAAGGCTCTCTGGAGAGGAAAGAACAAAAGGATAAAACAATTCCATGTGGTAAGTATGGGCCACTTTTTAAGAGTTTAGAATTCCACAGCTCATTTGTGCTTCATCCTTTTAAATTAATTTTTATTAGTGTTTTTTTTTAGAGAAGTAGTATGTAAGTCGTCTGTTGTGAAATAGGATCTTGTTACTAGCTATGTAAATTACCAAAGCAAGATGATGTCATTTGTTCAAAATGTACAATTAGCACTGGATTCTCTGTAACAGTTCAATTCCTTGACTGTGTGCAAAATCTACAAGTATTTACTAATAGTATGGATAGTGTATTTCATGACATATCTTGTCTTTAAGAAAAAAGAGTAACTACCAACTCATTGCACCTACAAAACAGCGTAGCGCAAATAAGATTAAAAATATTTGGCCTAACCAACCAGAGAAAAATCTGTACTTAACAACTTTAAAAATCAAAATACTTACTCCCTGTTAGGAATTCTTTGTACTATCCAGGTATGGTAAGATTTTCAGAGGACCTTGAAAGAGGTTACATATCTAAAGCTTATTGAAATTCAGTGGCATCTATGGCTTTAACTACTTTTGAAATCTCATCTGACTACTTCACTTGATAAGGAAAACCAAACACAGACACAACAAACAAGTTTCCATTTACCATGCAACTATCACAAAAATATTATTTTTTTTTACCGGTGGAGTGCTGAAAATGTAGAAGGATGAACCTTTCAGTGCCAGAAACTTGAATTTGTAGAGCTGAGATGAATCAGTTCCTTCGAGTCTCTCATTTACCCATCCCATATGTATGACCTGTAAAAGAAAATAATTGAAAATTAAAAGGTTTTTTGTTTAGTGGAGCATAAGATATATCTGAATATGTCAAGTCTTTCTGCAAGGAATAGTGGTCATATTAGAACAGAATTCATCATTCCCTTCTTCACATTTGCCTTGCCACCACTACCATACTCTTAAAGTGTATGTTATCATGCCAGTGTGTCAGAAGTCCTTGGAGAGACTTAAACTTGCAGAACAAGTTGAATCTTGTCTGAAATAACCAACATTTTAAAAGTTACCTATATATGTCTCAGCGGACTCTCACTTGAGCTAGCAGAAAAACCCAGGTGTACTGAAACAGTTTGGCCAGCAGTTTATAAAACACATGATCTTACATTATCTATAGCATAGTCAAAACTTAGACATACTGAAATTTCTGCTGCTACATTTACCTCGAAAGAAATATATTTGAACAAATCACTAGATTTATCTGAAATCAAACAGCTTTCTGTATGCTTATGTTTGCCACTGTTAACAAAGTCTTACTTACACTGATTGTCCTTTAGAATTTATAAACTTTTTTTAATATATACTTCATCTCATGACGATTTATGTTCTCATGGGATTAAATGTCAAATTCAGTTACTCAACTTTTCTCTAACAGCATTACAATACATGCATTTATATTTCAGATAAATTAATTTTAAGAAAAAATAAAATTAAGTAAGACTGCATGCTTCCTTTTTGAGGAAAATGCAAATGTATAAAGGAATAATGCCATAGTATGGTAGCAGAATATCATTAATGTAGTTACCTACCAAAAATAACAAACTTTTTAGGCATCCTTCTGCATACATTAAGAGAAACATATTGCCCCTGAAACAGGAACTCAGATCTAGAATGATCCATTAATCTGAATATACAGGTATTGCTGATAAGCTTGCTTATTTTCAGTTAAGGCTATACTTACGGAAAATACTGAGTTACACAGGGGCAGAAATGTCATAGCATTTGTGAATATATTGAGCTCACAGAGCTTTGCGGGAAGTCAGTGAAAACAGCCTGAAGAAGGCATTCATTAAATTGCACAAAAACTTCAGCATTTGTTCTACAGATAGATTTGGGGAAAATGTGATGATCTCAGGAATGCTTTTCTATTGAAAGCCCAGTGTCCGTACCTGTAGTTATCACCAACAGAGCACTAAGGTGGAAACAACAGTATATATATATACGTATATATAGTATAGATGCATGCTCATACTCTTGTATCATGAGAATCTCATGCATTGTTTTCTAATTTTGTTATTTAATGTATCAATGATATCTCTCACCAATCAACTTATTCAGAAATAAACAATAAATCAATATGTTGAGCCAGACAACCCTTCTCTATTTACCAAGCTCCAGCATTAATATTTTAACATCTAAGAAACAGCACAATAAATACAGTAACCTTTCCAATTCTCACTTTGCTATTGTGTACATTTAATAACTCTCACCAAAACATTGTTTCTATAGTAGTCAGCCAAAGGTTAGAAACAGGATGTTCAGACTCTTCATTATTTTAACAAAATATATTATAAAATTGCTGATAATCTACTACAAACTGTATTATATATTGAGTTTATCAGTGTGGTACTATAATATCAAACAATACAGACAAAAAGAATAATGTCCAAATCACGGGGCACAAACAATGCAATATCTTCCTTTACATTCATAAAGTCATGTTTGCTGACTTGCAAATGGACACCATTTATTAACCTGTAACAGCATTAAAATCTTCACTAAAAAAGTAATTTACTGATTAAATTGATAAATTGATAAGCATATGCAAAGGATATAGTTCTCTATTATGGTCTTCATTCATCATCATTATCATCATCATTTAGTCTTAGAGCAGAACTCACCAAATAATTTTGGAATTATCCACAATGTCAAATGGCAAAACCAAGTCAACGATAAAGTCTGCAGCTTACCCAGGTCATTCATCAGGCATCATATATTAAAGCAAACATGACACATTCTGAGAAATATAAGTATAAAACTTGTTGCAAACCAAAGAAGTTCATTGTTAAAAGAAGTTCTTAGCAGAAACTCAGGGCAGGATGGTGTCAGACGACTGGAATTCCACTTGTCAAGATTGTGTTTTCACTTCAAAATACACTACGGATTTCCTGTAATTGACAGGAAAAGCTTGATTTGACAGAAACCACAGGTTTGCCTGTAAGTACTGGTTCTAAACACCAACAGTTGTGCAAAAGACAACCATGCTTTCTGGGAATAAAATTTTAAATTTAGAAAAAGAGCACTGAATTTCTCTAACTGAAGTAAAATGAGATTTGTTTTTCAATGAAAATGTGCTTTATGTCAAAGTTCTCTGCCTGATAAATGAGAATGTCCTTTACTTATTTTATGGAATTCACGTGAAGGCCCTATTATTGTTGTATTTTTATCTAGGGCTGCAAAATGCAATAGGAGCATTAAATGTCCAGAGGAGGGCTATGAAGATGATCTAGGGGCTGGAGCACCTCTCCTATGAAGACAGGCTGAGAGAGTTGGGGTTGTTCAGCCCGGAGAAGAGAAGACTCCAGGGAGATCTTATAGCAGCCTTCCAGTACTTAAAAGGAGCCTACAGGAAAGTTGGAGAGCGACTTTTTACAAGGGCATGTAGTGATGGGACAAGAGGCAATGGCTTTAAACTGAAAGAGAGTAGATTTTGATTAGATATAAGGAAGAAATTTTTTACAGTGAAGGTAGTGAGTCACTGGAACAGGTTGCCCAGAGGAGTTGTAGATGCCCCATCCCTGGAAGTGTTCCAGGCCAGGTTGGATGAGGCTTTGAGCAACCTGATGTAGTGGAAGGTGTCCCTGCCCAGAGCTGGGGATTGGAACTAGATGATCTTTGAGGTCCCTTCCAACCCAAACCATTCTATGATTCCACGATTCTATGATTCGATAATGTAGCACTTAATCTTCTGGATAATTCTCTTGAGTATGTATTTAGCTACAAACACAAGACTGCATTTTCTAATTAGCTGCAGACATATTTTTTGGGCATATGTTCCAAGTGTTTTACTGAAATGGAATTGTATTACTATTATTTTTATTGCAGTCACACTGTACTATGACCAGTCTACCTGTGGTAGATCAGAATCAAGAGACTTAGTTTGAAGTACACCCTTCTCTGCACAACAAACATATTTTTAAAATTATTAACAGCTATAAACTCAATGTTAAGCTGTTCTGTGTATTGAAATCTATTTCAAGCTCAGACAAAAAAAAAAGATACAAAACCACATTCATTAGACTAGATGTTGAGGGAATGGTTTTTGTATTCACTGAATCACTACAAAATTGTAATATCATTCTTGATCTATATGGATTGTGATAAGATCACATTCATTCCACTTCATCAAAGTCTACACAAAACCAAAAAGTAATACTTCAGTTACATTTTGAATACATTGCACTGAATATTACTCTGCTTGATTGAAATGACTAACAAAAACTCCAATTTCAGGAAATAAGAACTTCAATCAGAAAAAAAAAACAACAAACAAAAAACAACCAAATAATAGATCATCAAAGCAAAGAGAAAATCTTAGAACCCTTTTTTTGTTTCTAAATTTGGTTATAATTCCCAAGAGATATCAGAAAATTATTAACAGTTTTTCAATTTTCATTTTCTTTAAAACCATCACTTAGCTTTGCATTGTCAGCATAATTTGTGGAACAAGGAAACAATTATATATCTCACAGTAGAAATACAAGAAAATAGTCTGCTGATTTATATCTTACAAAATAAATTAAAAACTTATCTGGTAAAACTAGCTGGTGAACAGTTAAATGTGATTAAAAAAAAATAAAAACCTTTCAAATCCCAAGATTATGGTTTGTATATTAGCACCATGAAACACTTAACAAAGTATTAAAGGTGCTAATAAACAAAATGTTGCAGTATGTCCTGAACTTTCTAAAAGACACCTATAAAACGAATGCCTACATCAGCTTGTTCCTTTTTTTTTTTTTTAATGCAGATGTGAAAAAATTCAACAAGTAGCATATTGGTAGATCAATCTAAAATTAAAAATTAAAGTATCTCTGTAGAGTACTAGCTGAAGTCTCAGTACATATATACATTTATGAACAGAAATACAGTACAGCTAGAAGACACATAAACTTTTTGTTTGTTCATTTGTTTTAGAATTTTTGTATATTTAGGAGAAAAGCAAGGGTTGAGTTGATTTACATATGTATTGCTCCACCATATATGAAAGTCTGAGTGAGACACTTTCTTGGGGAAGAAGCAATAGTCGGGCTAAGTAGCTGAAGAAGATTGCTACTGGAAGACTCAGTGGGCTACTGGTGAGCTCAGTGGGTTTTGAGCTGCATTACTGTCATTTGTAGGGGTTGGAGATAACAGCATGGCAAGCCAAAAAGTAAGTACTAATTAATATGAAAGAGAAAGAGGAATAGACAAAAAAAAGGACATTTAGGAGGGGAAAGAAATCAAGTTAGCAAAACTAAAAATGAAGAAACAGGAGAAAATATGAAATTAACATGAAAAGAACAAAGGAAGGACACTATATAAGTACATAAAGAAGGGAAAATCAATGAAAAAAATATTTGGGAGCAAAAAAATGTAAAGAAAAGAGGATTCCAAATGTATACTTGCCTCTAAAGGCACAAAGGTCTTTAAAAAAGTAAAGGAGGAAAATAGAAGGATTCCTTTTATCAGAATCAGTGTTTGATTAACTTATGCATATATTAAAAAAATAATAAAATTATACATCATTTTATAGCGATATTAAAAATCCTAAGGTATTTTTTACTTTCTTTCCACATATCTTTCTTATTGACTGGTTTATTTACTGGTCATTTAGACCACAGAAATGGAGAAAGAATAATTATTCAGTTCAACAAAAGTCTGTATGGAACAAAAGCAACCATGTGTTGGTACTCAATAAAAAGCTGTTTATGGTTTATAAGCAGGCTACTGAGATTTTAATTTGGTCTCAGTACACGGGTGGGAAT